ATTCATCTTATTCTCATTCGTGCTACATGCTCTGTCCATTTCATCCTCGTTGATTTGATCATTCTACTTATACTTGGCGAAGAGTACACGTTATGAAGCTCCTCATTATGCAGTTTTCTCCAACCTCCTGTCACTTCATCTTTCTTCGGTCAAAATATTCTCCTCAAAGCATGTTACTACTTCTACCACTACTACTACTACTATTATCACTAAACACTGACGTTCATTGTTGCCGCATTCTGATTCTTTTTAACAAAACTTAGATTAATATTAAGGCATGTAGACCCGTTACTAGGCAACGAACGCGAAACAAGCAACTATACAACAGCCACTGCTAAGTAATGGATCCGCAAACAAGCATGTATCCTCGGCATCGAGAAAACACGGTAATAACGGAACGGACGTTTTATACGCGGTTAGTGCCGTAGTGCTATGACAAGGACCACTTAGCAGTTGCAGTCAGAGAACTGCTGGGGGTCAGTCGTTGTGAGCTGTTGCTGTTAGAAGCTTGTAGCTGAGGCCGGGGAGAGTTCAGAAGAACTCAGAGGAAGGGGAACGTCAGCTGTTGGAAGCCGCCACAAAGCTACGGCAGTGAACACGTCACTGTGGACACTAGTGTGTGTGTGTTTAACAGCGATTTGTAAAGTGTAGTCATGACTTGTATGTTTAAGTGTTCAATAAATTAGATTACAAATCCAAACAACATTTTCTGTCATTCCATCGCATGACAATATATTTTCTGTATATTATCAATCGCTCAAATGTTGTTATTAAAAATGACGTTTCGGAGACTGGACTCCGTCGCCGTCCTCAGCCAGATTCTCCAAATCAGTTGGGCCCCATCGATTGACCGAATATCTTTATCGTTTTAATAAAAGCAAAAATGGAGGATGGTTCGTATCCCGACACTCAGTATACTACCGTCACGAAATTGTAGATGTTAGAAACTGAGATTAATTTCTCTCTTCGTTTCCATGGAAATGATGCAGCGACAAACATCGCCCTGTTCATACTAATGCAAATGCCCGACGATAAAGTCGTGCGGGATTCATGTTGTGATGGCCCTAACTCTAACGTTTAAATCGTCGATTTTAATCTGGTCTGTGATGCAATCGACGTTTATATTACGTAAGATTTGAGGTTTTCACGGCGGTGACTATGAAGAAAGCCGTCTTCTGGGATGTGGCGCAGTGTATAAATTGTGTTAACCGACGTTTCGGAGGAACGTATCGCCACGGCGCCACATCCCAGAAGACGGCTTTCTACAACGTTTATATTTCTTTAAAGCGCGCTGCAACCAAAGGGTCCCGCGGCCTTTCGAACGGTAAGTCCGTGCATTGTGAAGGGATGCAGTTGTGTTTTATGGCATGTCTATGCTGACATGTGCTCTGAAGAGGTGACTTAGATCTATTAGGTAAAGTATTCCGGCATGAAACACTACTCCTGTTTTGTTTATGTGGATGATCGCAATATAAAATGCCCCCATTTATTTAAGGTAGGTTCTACTCAGCAGTCCACGTTTGAATCCCGAGATACAGGACTCATTCTCCGGCTGAACATCCAAGTACAGGATGTATCATTTAAAATTCAACCCTAAACCAAGAACATGAAATCTTGACAAGATGACGTGAATACTGCCAAGTGTAGGGGTTTTGTGTGTGGCTTATAAGATGGGTTTCGGACTGGATGATTGGCTATATTGCACCTTATACATCCACACAGCTCGGGACTACCGGCAATACAGCTCTTTCGCTGATCAACACACTATACAGTTCACCGTTACACACCCTAGTGTTCTCAGTTTTTACTAGTAGTATCCTGGCAACGGATTTATATAATAATAGTCTCACTATTAGTTCAAATCACATATGAAGTCTTCTTTTCACCGCCTAGTTCCTTTCTTGCCGTTATTCTGCAACTCTCAATTTCGAAGACTCCACTGAGTTAAATTCCAAGCTCATATCCCGGCAGGCCGGCTAGTCGAAAATCAAGTCTTTACTTCTCGACTACTACTACTCCTGTTAAAGTCAAAGTCATAGTCACATTGCGACTGACGGTCAGTCAGTCTGTAAGTCTTGGTGTCGAACTCCAGCTGGATCTCATGACCGGATATTTATTACTGTTTGTCAGTTACGGTCTTGTTTTCGTGGGATGCCCTCTCTGACGAGAGGACGGGTCTGTCTTCTGTATATGTTGCTGCCAGCACAGTCTTTCTCGTGTCCGAGTCCCTTGAGACTTATGACCATATTTTATTGTCTCAGATTTGAGACTACTCCTGTTCTGCCGAACATTACCTTATAACCACTTTGTACGGTCCTCACGGAAAACACAGCCTCTTTTACAACTTCTTTATTAAATCCGTCACAACACAACTATATCAAGGTTAGTACCTAGTTTGGCTCTGCTACATGTTTCGGCTATTAAAAGCCATTATCAGGCAATTACATGGCCAACATAAATACAACCACTGAACTGCAGTACTAAAAAAATTGGATACAATAATATTAATTATATTAAAATACTTAGCGTAAAAATGTAATAAATTAGATTATATAAAACAAAAGTTATAGTAAAAAACAAGAATAAAATTCTTCGATTGATGCTTTACAGCATGGAGTCAGTCGTTGGATTTTGTGATTTTGTTGCGTTCCCACGGACAAATTGGAGTATTCTATATTTTGTGTATATATAATAAACTATTATTGGAGGCTCGTGATGCAGATATAGTAATATTAATGTTAATTATTTAGTCGGTGCCTCATCTTACAAAGTATTGTCCGTTCTATAGAGAATGTAAACAACGACTCATTAAAATTAAAATAATTATATCCCATTTTATTAGTACTGCAATTCAGTGTTGTATATATGTTGGCCATGTATTTGCCTGACGATGGCTTTTAACAGCCGAAACATGTAGCAGAGCCAAGCTAAGCACTGACCTTAATATATCTGTGTTGTGACGGTTTAAATAAAGAAATTGTATGTTACAACACAAGAGGTTATATGAAATGAAAATTACAGCCTCTTTTGTTAATGAGGTGTGTTTACTGATGCGTTGCTTAGCAATGGAAGTCCTATTCTTGCACGCGTTGGCTGGAGCGAGAAAGTGTTTACCGAGTCTATACCTAACAATGTGTAAACACGTCACAATAGTTACGTCTCATTCGGTACATCTACCTGAGCATATGCATTGCTGAATGCTTCACGAACAGCAGCATACGCTTCATATGCAAAGCAATGTTCGGGAATGAACATATGTTCTTCTCGTGAACATATTCTGTTTGAATTCTGTATTTCAGCGTCCTGTTGCAATTGTTCACATTAGTGCCCATTTGTCTATAATCCGTCTAAATTGCAACACTTTTTATTTTACACTTCAATACACTCTCTAACACTACATGTTTCGGCCTCAAACGACCATCTTCAGGTGTTTTTTCTACAGATATTCAATTAAGATTGTGTCGAAATTGTGTCGAAACTGCTACACTGTTTCACTGATCCAAATCATTTTTAAAACTACAAGCTGTAGTTTTCTTTTTAATTAAAATGAGATAAAATTCTTTTATAATTTGTTACTTACTGTTTTGCTTCACTCAGGGTGTCATTTCCATAAAACATAAGATATTTTCCTTGGCAGCTTGGTCCTCACGTTAGTTATCTGTAATTTATAAATTCCTATATTAATGTTGTTTTCTCTTTGTTGTTATTATTATTATTATTATTATTATTATTATTATCATTAGTATTATTATTATGTTGTTTGTTTACTTTTTGTACTCACTTTCTCCTGGTTTGTGTTTCCTCCTCAACGTGTGGTGTTGTCTTTACTAGTGCTGATGCGATGTGTTTGTTCCTGTATTTATATGCCCTGGTTGTGAGGAGTGGGGAGAGATGAGGGAGGGTATAGTGTTATGTTGTGTAATTTTGTATAGTATTTCAAGTACAGGGTTATGTGTTTCAATGTTTGTGTCATTCATATGTAAATCTTCTTTACTAGTTTTGTAAATATGGTATTTCTCCAGTGTATTCAGATGTTTTCCTTTTTTCCCGTTGTTATGGTTTCCATGGTGTCTGTTATTGTGCCGTACCTGTGTCCGGTATTCAATATATGACTTGAATATCCTGAGTTACTGTTGTTACTTTTCATGTCGTGAATGTGTTCTTTATATCTGGTTTTGAATGTTCCCCCTGTTTGTGAAACATATTTTAATGGGCAATCTAAACATTTCATTTGATAGATTCCACTTTTATTATATGTATCCATTTGTGGTTTTGGTTTTAGTATATCTTGTATTGTGTTTTGCGTGCGGAAAGCTACTTTTATTTTCGTATCTCGAAAAAGTTTTGTGATATTTCTTAATTCCTTTCCGCTATACGTAAAGGCTATCCACTTTGTTCTTGTTGCTGTGAGTTTTCCTGTGTATTTTGTTTTTGTTTCTTCTGGGGGGGGGGCTATGTTGCTAGATAATTTTATGTCATATTCATTATTATATAATATATTTTGAATTGTGTTCATTTCTATGGCTTTTGCTTTTTTTCGTTATTGGGTATGTATATAACCGATTTATTAAATAGTTTGTGTTCATGTGGGTGGCATGAACCGTTTGGTATTATAATGTCAGTTTGTGTAGGTTTCCGATATATTGAAAATTCAAGGTTTTCTATCATCTCTATGTATTACTAGATCTAGGAAACTGATGGACTGATGCTCTTCTTTCTCCACGGTAAAATTTATAGTTGGTTGTGCTTTGTTGAACTCATTAAGTGTGAGATCTATATTTGTGTTTAGAAAGTTCATGCCCTAGAACCCTCGGCTACTGTGACCGGCGAGAAATGTCACTAATAGCTTTCCCAAATCAAATAAAGTTAAAGGTAAATTTGTCCCTGTGGCATCATTAATTAAGCACTACGCCATGAAGGCGTATGGGGGGAGTGGAAGTGCTACCATTCTTCACCTAGGCACTAGATGGAGGTGAGTGATCAGATTCACGCCCCGGTCGCTTTATCCCAGGTACCCATTGGATAGGAGGCTGTGTGGGCCTCGAGTGTCGGTCTGGACGCTGTGAAGGATAGAAGAATCTTGCCGGGACTCGAGCCCTGACTGTCCAGTCCTTAGCTTGTCACTATACCGACTTAGCTACTCGGCTCTCGTTTCGAAATCAGGTATCCAAATTATTTTCATGCTTTATTCTTGACGGAAGAACCGGCACACATTGAGAACTGAAGGCTGAGGCTGTACCTCGTTCTGAACAAGTACCCACCAGTACAGACCCCCCCCCCCAACCACCGTTGCCTTCCTAGCGGCACTGAGCACTGTCAGAAGCGAGTCCCACCCAGAAAGTGCCCCCTTGTACCCCGCTTCAGCTATATCGTTGGGTACTAAGGATTATGTTCCTTTATACATCCGGAAGGTCTCAGGTTAGATTCTGGATTAAGTCACTGGATTTTTCAATTGACCTAATACTTCCAGCCGCACTATGGTCCTGGGGTCAACTGAGCCTCTAACAGAAATGAGTACCAGGAATCTTCCTAGGGTAAAGGGCTGCCGGAGCGTAAGGCTGACAACGTTACTGCCATCTGTGAGCCGATTGTCTATAAAATGTTGGGAACCTCGACGTCTCACAACCCTGTGGGCCTCCACGGTCTGTTACAGAGATAGCTTTACCTCTATGTACATTTAGGCAATTGGTAGGTTATATGAGATCGCTGTATCAAAGTCTAAATGTATTTCATCCTTTCAAACTCTATGAAAATAAATAACAGGTGCCACTGGGCAATAACAGAAATAAATCTAAAAAACATACAATCTAAACGTAACTATATATTCCGCCTTCACTTCTCCAGCAGAGCGCTTTTATGTGTTGGTATGATTCTCGCAACAAATAGTGATTATTTACCTCAGAACAATTAATTGGTCGGGCAATGCAACAAAGTTATGGAGAATTTTCTATGATATAGGAATTGGATTATTAAACGTTACTTAAGTGAAAAACAAGGCCGCGCCATAGCTCAAGTGGCTAGTCGCTGGTCAAGTGGGATTTGTGGTGGACAAAGTGGCGTTAGGGCAGCTTTTCTCCGAGTACTTCGGTTTCCCCTGCCAATCTTCATTCCACCAATTGCTCCACAATCACCCTCACCTATCATCTGGGGCTGGTACAATAGGCCAGAAGTGGCCGCAGTAGAAGGGACTTAGTCCCACCCCATTAGCAATAAAAGAAATGGGTAAACAACATCCTGCAATAGGCCATTTCGACACAGATTCTCTTGGTTTTCCTCAGTCTTCAAGCAAATGCTGAGACGGTTCCCAAGTTCCCCAAATTGCTACTGGGTGCTCCTCATGCAAGCCCTCCCGATTCGAATTCACAACAACCTAACTCCCAGATCTGAGATCCCCAAAATATTGTTACGTATATGTGTGTGATTATAGACTGAGTTTGGTTTATTGACTCTATTTATTGACCTCTTTCAGGTTGTAACTACAAACAACTTTAACACTATCGCTATGTGCACACTTTATAGTTCACTGTTACACTGACTAGCACCCTCAGTCTATTACATCCTCCACTATCCGTTTCCTGGCAACGGATTTTAACATAGGAATTATACCAATCTTGCTGTAACTGCAACACATATAAAGTCTTTTTTTTTTTGTCAACCGAACTGCCAACCCGTAACTCACTTTCTCCATCCATCAATCATCAAATGAGCTCGCCTGCATTTGTCGTGGCACACCCAAAGGATAGCGCCGGTTCCAACAGTATTTTCATTGTTGGCCGTTGTCTCGGAAAAATATGTACCAAGCCATTGCCCAGCAATTTACGTCTCCTCGGGTTCCACTATTCCGGCTTTCAGGAGTCATGTCACAATAATTTTCTTAACTGTGCATTTCGCAAAATTCCTTTTCCGTGGGCCAAGTCTGCAAAACTTATTACTGAATCAACATATTTTGTTGTAGATGGACACCGGGACCAGTGAGCACTACTCGGGTCATGGATAACTTCAACGCACGAAACTGATGTACGAAGCCGTTTTAGTGCTATGTCCTTCTCGTCGAAGTGGTTTCCTGTGTACGCCGATATACAAAGGAGGGCAAGGAAACCAATTATGTCACATGGCCCTAGTGAGTGGTCGGACAGTGCTACCCTACCCCACTCCTGTGGGATCCGCGTGAGGTAAAAATAGGCTTCACCGTATGAGGTCATCAGCGAGGAAATGCCATGTGTTAGCTATGGTACCGCTCCCACTGAGGCAACAATTTCACCTGAATATATTATACGCGTAATGACGAAGTAGCTGGTCACAAAATAAATATAGGCCCCATAACAACTCTTCAAGGGCACCGCAGAGGGTTCAGGGTCCTATTTTGCAAATGCAAAAGTTCTTATTTTCGATAGGACGCTGTAAATTCGTAGTCAAGTGGTACCGAGATAGAATTTCGGTTGGGTCACTGACTTCCTTGAGATATTTTGAGGTCTTTCGCAGTGTTCCCATGAATATATCGGAATAGAACTCGATTAGGCCACCGTCGATTCATTCCAAGTCTCTTCTGGGTCATCATTTATCTGTCATCCTAGCCCAGGCACTAGCAGCATCACAGAGAAGACTAAATGTCCTCATTTGTCCCGGCGGGGTTCGCTTCCCACCACACGTGACATGTGGACACTGTAAACATAACTTGGCGGTCCAGCGAGCAGCATGAGGCGGCAGCTGTATGGATATATTCTGCTTCCCCAATAAGTTCACTGAAGAATAAAGCAAAAATTAATTTCTCTATTCTGTTACTGGGGGCCTGGACAATTTGCTCAGTCGGTAGAGTGACCACGTACGTTGGATGGCCTAAGATCCAATGTTGGGTTACCGAGAGAAACGGATACAATGAAGAAGGTTGCGGGTTGGATTCCCGATGGGGTGGAGTTTTTCAATTTACCTAATCATTCCAGCGGCACTAAGGCCCTGGGGTCGACTCAGCCTCTAAGGGAAATGAGTACCATGAATCTTCTTGGAGATACAGGATGCCTGCCGGAGCGCAAGGTTGACAAACTCACCGCACATCTGTGAGTCGATTTGCTAGAAAAATGTTGAGAACCTCGACGTCTCACAACCTTATGGGCCTCCAAGGCCTGTTACACGGACAGCTTTACATACCTATAAGTTCTCTCTCAAAGCTCTCCCATTTCCCTGTTCCCACCTTTCTGTTCTCACAGCGGTTGTTATGTAGTCCGCTGAAAGTCAACAGACGTTTCGAGAAGAAAAAATGTCGCCTCCATCTTCCGGGTCGCAGAATAATCCTGTGTTGAACAGGTAGCAAGGAGAGGCAGAAATTCTTTGTTTTCTCTTTTCCACCTGCGTTCGCAGCAGTATTCGTTTATTCGACCATGTAAATGGAAGCAATATTTTCCTCCAAAACGTCTGTTGATTTTCAACGGACTACATGGAATTGTATCCCAGATGACAGTACTCATATCCATGTTTCCTCGTATTATTCCATTCCTCATTGACCTGATCTCCGTTTCTCCGCATCACAGCAATTATCCATCAAAATTGAAGGTAATAACATACCTTGGAGGAGCAGACCACAGCCTTCATGAGGTCTGTTCCTTTCTCTGTCACTCCGTACGTTTTCAATTCCGTCTGTCTGCCTCTCTTTCCTCCACTTCTCCTCCCCTTCCTCGCCCGTCGTCCTATTCTGCCTCAGTTAACAATTACATCGCGTCTGTTCGGCCACTAGACCTTTCGTTCCCAAGCAACGGCTTTGCTAAGTACCGAAGCTTAATTGCACTGTAATCACGCGGTTCCTGTGACTTTGTGGTCGAGTTCTAAG